AGCACCGATATGGCAGCCAGTATTGGGACAAAGACCCGGCCCATAAAGAGTGGGCCCCTTGTGCCCACGCGCTTGACCTTTACATTGATTGGTTGGCCCCTTGTGCCCACGTGCTTGCCCTTTTGTTTCATCCCAAAATTTACTGCGATCAGCCCGCTCAACCCAACTTCCTAAAAACAAGCAATATACATAAGCTAAAAGAAAGCACTTAGCCCGAGGCTTCACAACTGCTGGCAGGATAATTGGATAAACTGTGGAAACGAGAAATTATTACGGTTGAGAAAACAAAGGTTTACATCAGCAACTAAGAAAAAGACAGCTCATCAGTTGATGAATGCAGGTCATGAAAATATCATGTTGGTTATTACAGAGGAAATCTAAGGCAGAATACTCTGAAATGTTAGGTGTGTAGCCCATCAACAGAAATACAGTAAATACGCCATTCATCTAAGAAGCAAATGTTAGGGATGCTTCTGGGGGACTGTTACCTGGAATAACAAGCTTCACTTTCCTGTAGTAATTCCTAGGATTACAGTTTGCATGTGAGGACTGAACTCTTGATTTTTCTTTGCACCCCCCCCCAAGAAAAATTTTCCTTTCTAAGGGGGCATGGTGAGTCATGTCTACAAAGGATAAAATCTCAGCAAACAGGTTTTTATGATGTTTACTTCCCAACGTGATTCCAGTTCAGTGACAAGGAAAACCCCCATCTATTTCCTGGTGCATCAACATAACACCAAACCTATTACCTGGCTCATCAACTACCCTATTACCTGGCTGGCATTAGCTATCTGAGACCTGACCCTGTAACAATAGCATTAGAAAGATAAAAAACCCTTAAACATTCCTTTCAGCTGATTACTGGTCTTTTGGACAAAACCTAACTCTTTCAGCCAATTGTCAGAGAGTCCTTAAACCTATCTATGATTTGTAAGCTCCCACTTTGAGATGTCCCACCTTTTGGGGCCAAACCAATGCACGCCTTCCATGTACCTGTAATTCCTGTCTCCTTGAAAATGTATAAAAGTCAAACGGGGTCGGGCTCGGTGGCTCACGCCTGTAATCCTAGCACTTGAGAGGCTGAGGCGGGCGGATTGCTCGAGGTCAGGAGTTCAAAACCAGCCTGAACAAGAGCAAGACCCGTCTCTACTATAAATAGAAAGAAAATTAATTGGCCAATTAATATATATAGAAAAAATTAGCCGCACATGGTGGCACATGCCTGTAGTCCCAGCTACTTGGGAGGCCGGGGCAGAAGGACTGCTTGAGCTGAGGAGTTTGAGGTTGGTGTGAGCTAGGCTGACGCCAGGGCACTCACTCTAGCCTGGGCAACAAAGGGAGACTCTGTCACAAAAAAAAAAAAAAAATCAAACGGTAACCCAAGCTCAGCGAGTCCACTTGCTCAAGGCTTCTTGGGTGTGGCTCCAGGCATAGCCCTCAAATTTGGCTCAGAATAAATCTCTTTAAATTATTTCGGAGTTTGGATTTTTCCATCCATGCATGGAAAGCCGAAAACCTGTTAAACCCATGGAAGGATCAGAGAACCCCAGTGACAAGTTCTGATTTTGAACAGGCAGCTGCCAGTGCATTCCTGAAACTGCAAACTAAGATGCAGAAACATGGTGTAGGAGCGAAGGGAAGGAAGGGAAGCTTGCCTTTCCCCCAGAGAGTTCTATGAAAGATCAGCTCACAATTAAGGCCGATTAATAAGAGAAGAGTTTATTTACCATGCACATGGGGAGAATCACAGATTGCTTACTCAACATCCCAGTGGGATCCAGATATTTTTATACCTGCTTTATAGGGGAGCGGGGGGAAATGAGGAACACAGGTAATTTCATTGAGGGGTGACAAATCTTGCAAGGGAGGACAAATGGTATGGGGAAACAGATTGACTTGCAAATGATTCTTTTTGCAAATTAAATTAACCTGAGGCAAGGGTATTATATTTAAATGATTTGGGCCAAATACTCTTTATACCAAGGAGTCATATTTGGGGGTGAAATTTCCTGAGCTCCTTCATCCGTTTGCCCATTTCTTTTTGGTTTTGGATAACTTTTTCTCCCTCTGGCTCGCCACAGCAAGTTTTAATTGTTGTCAGGTGAGATGGTAAGTTCATTTTGGTGTGTTGAAGGGGCCAGCGAGATAGCTGAGTGCAGCCGAAAGGCAGCTACACGGATCCAGACTTGAGCTGTACAGACTGCCAATAGATTTAGGTACTGCATTCATGAAAATTGTTATAGAAGGGAGGACATTCATTATGATTTGATTGCAGCTGAACGTAAGCACCATAAAGGGCTTATACCGCGTCTATTTTGCTCACCACTCTATGCCCAGTGCCTAGAAGTGTGACTAGCACATAGTAGATGTTCACATACTGTAGGGCAGAGGAATTTGAAGGGCAGAGGAGTTTTTCCAATTGTCGAGAATTTACTTGGGTGGGGCAATGAGCTAACCGCAAACCTTTGCTTCTGGTCATTGCTTGCTTGCTACACCGTTGTAAGGGGAATTATGGGATGAGGTCATTAAAGCACGGGCGACTGGCCCATCAGGCAATAGGGGGCAACCAACCCGCCAATTATTTCAAAAAAGGCAATAGTGGGCAACCAATCATTTTAAAGGTCAACTCATGATCCATGCATAGTCAGCTTGTGCGCAGCTTGTGCACCATGGGGATAAAAGGCATGCCGTTGTTCCGGTCGGGGTCCTTGCCTGCGAGAGTGGCCACTGCGTTGGTGCTCTGGGGCTTGGACCCTGGCTAGCCAGAAAATAAACCTCCTCTTGTGTGATTGCATCCTCGATGTCTCTGCTTTTCTGTCCAGTGGGGCTGTGGAAGGTCGGTCCCTAACATTACATAGTTTCAGAATGAATTTTTTAGAAATCAGAATTCGATAAACATTGCACACATTTAACATTCCCTTACTTTCCAGGTGAAGTGAAGATGTCCCTGGGTTTTCACACTTCCGCCCCTTTAAGAAAGTGTAGGGAACAGGAAAGCACCACCCTGGGAGAAGGCAGGTGGGGCGGGGCCGCACGGGTCAGTCACACCCCCTTCCTCAGCCCAGCCCCGCCCCACCGCCAGAAGCCCCGCCCTGCAGCCAGAAGCCCCGCCCCACCACTCACAGCCCCGCCCTGTCTTCGCAGCCCCGCCCTGTCTCCACAGCCCCGCCCCGCCTCCCGCAGCCCCGCCTCTCGCGGGAACTCGCGTCTAGGGAAGCGAGACCGCCTCGCGGGGCCGGGAAGAATGTGCGGAACGACTCGCAGGGACGAGTGACAGACGCGGCCTGTGCTCTGCTGTCGAGCGCGAGCGCGGTGTTAGCAAAGCCAGGTGAGAGGATGAGCAGGCCTGTGCCTGCCCCTTTAAGGATCGGCTCCTGTCGTCCTTTGCAGGAAAATAAAGGGGTCAGAAACAGTTTTTGGAACCTGACCCTGTCTATCCCATCATCTTTCCTTATCTGTTAGTATTGGTACTAACCAAGTGTCCACCACTTACCCACACGCCGCATAACCGAGGCGTCGTCATTGGAGCTGGGGAGGGAGAGGGAAGCATCGGTCTAAATGGCCTGGTGTCCGAATCCAAAATAATCTCCTGTTTGCTCTGCTTTAATTTTAAACCTTAGGCTCGTATCATTCAAGGGATAGCCCAAAGCTGCGTGATGACAGAATTGGTCTAATGATGCATTGCTCCAGTGGAGGGTAAGAAAAAAAGAATTAGTCTAATGGGATGTCAGGCTCTTAGAGACCCCTGGGGTCCCCAGAGCATAAAAGTGTGGTAACTACCTTGCTGACTGTCTACCCGGAGTTCACACACTAGTGACCTGACCTGCGTGTTGGCCTGCCCTGTCATTTGCT